CCTCCTTTGAATAAACATTCCTAATATCGTCCAAAATTAAAAAATGAGCGCCTTCTTCCAACCCTTCGGATAAGCTTCTTCCTTCCCTCCCCTGTTTTACGGACATGTAATGAGACAACAAAGGATGTATAGTATTGATTGAGTTTAATCATTCTTGTCCAGCCTTTTTATGCAATCATTAGCTATGATTTGGAAAAAAAAATAGGTAAGTGCCGCCCTTTGATTACAAGGTGAAACAAGCGCCTGGGCGCTAAATCGAGGATTTACGGTATCTTAAAAGTGTACACTTCCAAATGATCACTTCCTCCTGCTAAAGAGTTGTAATACAAGAAAACTGTTGTCTTTTCACATACGATCATTAAACCACTGTTGATCTATTGCTTCTCCAATGCAAAGAAAAAGGAAAGAGTAAAATCGTTTAACCAGGATTTAAACCAGAAACTCGAGGACTGTAGACATATACCAAACTCTTGCATTATACCAAGTGAGCTATCGTAACGTTACATGTACACAAGGTACAATAATACTGCTTTGGGGTCAAATAAGTATGACTGACATCAGAATGCCTCCTCCCTTTGCTGCCTTTCCATCAAATGGAAATGGAATATACATGGAGACCTTTTAAGATAAGGTACGAATAAAGACATAGACGTTTTCAAATTTGTTTTCAAATTTGAGCTTGTCATTATGAATATAGTCTACAGTGAAGTGATAGCCCAGAGAGCATTGATTGTTCAACATTTATGCTTGGAAACGCTTTCCAAAATCATTTACTACTCGACTATAACACATTTTGTACCGCCAAATATGCCAAAATACTGTCCACCAAATTTGAGATCCACATCTATGCAAGCTATGCAAATAACATATTTACTTCAGAGCATGGGCTTGAGGCACAAAATTTCTAATGTGTTAGCTATCACTGACAAAAAAAATAATAATTAAACCAAACTAAACACAAATTGGAGGCTTGACTACCATCCGCCCTATACCGTCGCTTGCAACTAAGCGTGAACACGTGACGCCGAAACATGCTCTAACTGGGAGTCAAATATGGCATGATTGGCGTCAAACATTTAAAGTTAAGCAGACCGTAATGCAAACTTTTGTCGATGTTCTTCGGTGATAGCATACTGAAGGACTATGAATGTCTTGCTGTCCTGGTTATACTAGAAAAAAACCACTTTTGCGAAAGGTGTATGGATATTGAAACTGGTCAGGGTCAATTTCTCTGGAGAAGTCTTCAATGTCCAATCATTCTACCATTTCATGTGCTGAACTTTAGCGCAAAAGTTAGCGCCGAGGTCTCCGAAGCCTCAAATGTTTGATGATCAATCATGCCACTTTTGAAACTCGATTACAGCATGTTTCGGCGTCACGTGTTCACGCTTAGATGCAAGCGACGGTATACTAGATTGACAAACCCAGGCAATAGGCAATGTTTATTTAAAATGTTACATAAGATAATTAACCCAACAGGGAACTCGCCAAATATAACAAAACATTATGACCCTGAGAGTACTTTATTTTCTAGAAAAGACCTCATATACCCTCACACATTTCTATACATACAGGATACATTTCTATACATCCAATGTTTTTCTCTGCAAATTCTAGTATATCTGAATTCCAAATGCAATGGAAAATTGAACATTACCCATTGTCTTAATTACGCCACCACCCTCAAATATCTGTCTGAGTATCTCTGTCTGTGTGTCTGTCTGCCAGTGTGTCAGTTAGTGATTCAGTCAGTCAGTCAATCAGTCAGTTTGTCTATCTGCCTGGTGTGCGTCCGTCCTTCCATCTGCCCGTCCATTTGTCTGTCTGTCTGTCTATGTATTTATCTATCAATTTATTTATCTATTTAAAAGGTATGCATGTAGTGTAACGACCGATGCTAACAATACAAAAAACATTCGCTACAATTGTATAAGTAATTATAACCGGGACGTAACTGTTCTCAGTTTCATGGTCAGTACACTTGAATGTAGAATATTAACATAATGAAAACAGATTCAATAATAGTAGTGCATTGCATGTATTAAATCGGATTGATTCAGAGCAGTGCACAGTACTACTATTCTCGAATCTGTTGGTGTTTTCAAAGCGGTAAAACCTGCAATTTTG